GAATGATAAATCTGTTCTTTCTCTTTAAGGCTGTAGATCAAGCCAAATGCACTGGTAGTCCCAAGGATTAAAAATGGACTGAGACTCAGTCTTGCTATGGACTTCCTGTGTGACCTTGGGTAAGTCACTTGAGAATTTAGTTCTCAAAAATAACAGGCCTATTATAGCTGCCAGAATGAAGCACCAAAGTTTCTGAGACCACAGGTGCAAGCCAGGTCCTGTTTACATGCCCATAACAGAGAAGAACCTACCTAGTAATTTCTCTTGAAAACAACAGGTAAAGTATGACCAGAACTTCAGGAATATTAAACAACTGAAAGTTCATCTGGGACCGTGCTTCGAAAATTGGTATGAAAGCCTACATCAACCCAGAATTACTTCCATTTTTCAAGCTCTTGTTTGGCGATTTGTGTGAAACCTATCATAAGTAGACTATGATCTCCAGAAATGCAGTATGTACTGTTAAATATTGGATTTACAGTGAGTGAAGCACACCATACTCTAACCAGCTTGCAATATCAATTAGTTTGAGTTTTTTAAATGACTACAAACAGCTAATGAGTTGAACGCAATGAGCTTATATTTTTGGTAAATAATAATGACTGTACTTAGAAATAGGGATTCTTAAGAGCCATTTGGCTAGATACTGTACTTCCAGCAGTTTCTCTGCAACAGAGTACAGTTGCTCAAATATCAGCTAAAAAAAAAGCAAGCAAAACCCCACAAGCCAAGCTTCACAGAGGTTGGTTTTATTTCTTTAGCATAATAAGTTTGTCCCATACATGTTAAAAATGTCTGCCATCCCTCACTGGCATTTTAAACCCTATTATAACAGATACTTCCACATGAAGAAAGGCACTGCACTGGTATTTTTACTTCAGTCCAGCTTCTCCACCTACCACTGTAAAACTTCTGTCAGAAGAAATGAAAGGTTAATACCAACACCTGAGTCCCAGCTGGCAAGGAGGCAGAGGATGGCTGTAGAACCCTTTCTGCCTGCACTGCTGGCAGGGGAACTCACTTGCAGAGAGCAAGGACCTAACTAACCACAGTCAGTAACAATGATACTAACAGGACCTGTAGTAAAGCCAAAAGTCCACAGAAAGACTCAATGGGGAGAAATTACTTGATACAAGAGAAAATGTTCAACAAAAAAAATTTGGGCTGAGCTCACCTAAGTCAAATCCTCAGACTTCAACCAGGAAGTTTAATGTGAGTGACTTCTATGATCAGGAAGTCCAAGTCAGAGGGAAAGTTTCATTTACTTGCTACTTTTCATCAACCATTGCAGCATCATGTTTACCAGAGTCCCATAAGTGAGTAAAACTGTTTCAGGCAACTAATTACCTTAAAACACTCTGCTTCACAATCATTAAAATAACAAGCACTGGTTACTGAGAGAAAAATGAAGAGATAATGACATCTTAAAGCGTATTCTCATTATATTTCAGTAGTTAAAATTAAAATAGAAGTATTACTTGTTTATATGAGGGAAGATTTCCCTGGTCTCAAAACAGTTAATTCAACTGTTCATGTAGACCTGTTCACTGTGCCTGGAATTTTAACTCAGGCTACATTCCTCAATTCCCAAATTGCTAATTTAAATTAATGCTGGAGTTAAAACATGATACCTAGTGAAAAGTAAGGCATGGGGCAAGAGAAGAAAGGCAGGACAAGGAATGTTGTACCCCAAGCGTCACTAACACCTGACATCCTGCCAGTAGTTAACACCTTGGAGCTAACAGAACTACGCCATGCTTTTGCCTTATTCAAAGGCACTTAAGGTCTTCTTAAAGTCCTTCCCTTTGCAACTAAACTTAATGTGAAATGATTATCTAATAAAAATAAAGAGAGGAAATCTCACTGTAAAGCAAGTGAACTATCACTCCAACAAGTCAGTCAATCTACCTAACATTTTAGTAATGAATTCACTCTTACCAGGGGTTAAAAAAATCCCTGCCTCATGTATACTTCTCCTCACATATACTTGACTGTATGCAGAGTTTACTCAGTTTCATTCATTATTCTTTTTACCATTAAATATGCATCTGAAAATCTGAAGGCATACTTACTTTTCAGAACACAAACATAAAAGGTTGGTATCTTTTTAACCCTCTAGTAAGGAAAGTTTTAAGTATTTTGCTCATTTTACTTGTTTCACAGCATTGCTAAAGAACAAGATGTGTTACTTTTAGTTTTGCTATTTAATAAGAATTAAGACAACCCTACAATATACAGGAGAAATGCTAAGAAAGCAACTAATCCTGATCCTGCAAGCAACTTAGAATATGAAAATCTTTGTTGAATCTATTTAAAGTCCACACAGGATTCATGTAGCATGGCAATGCAGATGACTGGCAAAAAAAAAGAAAAAAAAATCACATTGCTCTTTTCTTCTCATTTCTCTACCAAAAGAGGGGGAGAAAGAGAAAAGGCAGATAGGAAGAGACACTCCCAACCAGTGCTATGTTTCTGCTTTGTCAGAATGGTGCCACTGTCCCAACACCTTGCTAACTCCTGTATGGGGTGTTTGTGTATTGAGCAGAAGTAAGGACAATGACACAGGATAGTTTTCTTCAGGTAAGAAGTGCCAGATTTTCTTGCAAGTGGAGGCTTTAATGGCAGTGCCAATCGGCTCTTTTGCTGATCTCCCATAGGGGCCAATAAACAAGGTAGAAAATGAATCAGCTCTAGAGTTAAAAAAAGACAAGAGTGTCTTTCCAGCTGCAGTGAATGCATCAGGATGGAAGCTCTAAGTCCTAGCTCCCGAACACGGCGATGGGGGTTGGTGGGTAGAAAATAAAGTTTACAGTACAAGAACAGCTGAGTTAAGTTTATCAACAGATAAACAGAAGGAAAGTTTACAGTGTAACAACTCGATGGCATAGCCCAGTATTATTAACTGGTATACCGGATATCAAGATCAGTCTCTCTCTAATAATCTCATATTCTATGCGAAAGTGGAGGAAAAAGGCAACTGAAACAGCAGAAATTTGATCTAGTATATATTACCAACAAGCCAGCTGCTGAAGCATCTCCTGTATGCTGATCTCTCATTAACAGAAGATACCTATAAAAGCAAAGTGCATTTAGAGACTTAGGGGAAAAAAAAACAACCACAAAACACACACACAAAAAAAACCTCTCATACTTATCCAAAGGTTAAACAGTTAACATTTTTCTAGCCATTTTCTTTAGTAAACATTTGCAAGTCAAACATAAACCCACTGCTGAGAAATGTCTATTATCCAGAATCTATTATCTAACCAATCCTGATGCTTCAATGCACAATGACTGAAGTTGGTTTTAATTCCCCCAAAAAAAGAAACAAACCCAGCCTAAGACAAGCCATTCTACAGCACAGAACTAGTTGATAAAGACTCGGAGACGTTTTATAATGAAATGGGTGCAACAATGAGGTCCAAAAGTGATGAAGATGAAAGATATCTGGAACGATACCACATCTTATACACCTTTTGTTTTCTGTGAGCGATACATGCTGCAGACAAAACGTTCTGTGCTAAAAAGCCTCAAATCTGGTTTTCTAATATTAAGCACAAAGGAAAAACACTGACAGCAAGCATGGTAAATAAATCCCTCCCTTGAGAACGAAAGCAGCAGACAGGAGGGGGCTGACATGCATGCAGGAGAAAACTAAACACCATCTTTTTTTCTACCTGCACAAGTTGCCATTTGCTGCAGTGATCAAGAATCTCTTTTCCACGTTGATTTCAAAAACCAGGGTTTCAGAAAATTTCTCTCCCAAGTCATCTGTTGATATGCTTTATGAGTATCATATTCATATCACTGGATCTTTAAGAGAAAAATCCATTTCTTTCCTGTTCAGGTAAACATGTTTACAGCTCCTGCACACATGCTGGGTGGTTCAGACTCGCATGTCACACACATGTCGTCAGCAACAAGAAAAGCCCCTTTCTCTGATCATCAACATTTTTAATAAGGTAGAGAGTAAAGCACTTTCCAAACTTACCTTTAGCACAGTCAAATCATGAGCTAAATATAAATATTTACACAGGGACAAGGAATTAATAACATGAGCGTGCAAAGAGAAATACTCGCTAGGAAACGCACAGAACAATATAAGAAAACCCTCCTAAGTTCAAAGCGATCAGATCAACTCGCCGGCCCCTGGAGAGGCCGTTATTTATCACCAAGCTACGCCCGACAGAGTCAGGATTAGAGAGGAGAGGCACCGATCGTGACTCGGAGCTATTTCAGAAACCGTTCCCTGAGTCTCGGGGAAAACGCCTCGGATCGCAAGCGAAAGCCTTCCTATCTGTGACCCTGCACAGGAAATGCCACACAAAACCTAAAATTGCCAAGGAAGGTTACAAAATCTCCTGCTTCACACCCTGTTGCGAAGAGTCGCTACGAGAGCCCAACTACTTCTCCATTTTACAGAAAACAAGTAGAGAGTGGGTGTTACGAGCGTTTATTCCCCCCCCCCCCCCGCCGTATACCTTCCAAACGCATCTTAAAGTAACTCACGTACCAAAGGGAAAAAAAAAAAAACAACAAACACAAACCCACCCCACGGCAACCCTTCAGTACGAAATGTAAATGTAATTCCTTATATAGACTGCAACAGCCGGTCGCACACGCAACGGAGCGGGGGCCCCGGCCAAACCGTTACCACCCATTATTATACAAACAGGTACCTCCGAAGCCAGAGGAAAGGCAAGAAACTTCGCCGCCCGCCCTCTCCGCCCGGGAGCAGCCCTCCCCTCCCCACCGGGGCCGGGGAGGCAAGCACGGCCGCCGGGCGCCGCCGGGGACCAACTTTCGGCGGAGAGGGGAGGTGGCAAAAGAGGCGAGCGGGCGGTGGGGCTGCCGGCCCCCTCCCGTGGGCCCGGGGCGGCCGCGCAGCGCTGCCCCCGCGCGAATCGCTGCCCGCTGTGGTGACAGTGCCTCCCCCACCACCGCCAGCCCCGCTCCCCGGCTGTACCCCCCCCCAACCCCTCCCGCCCCCCGGTGACGGCTGGCGTCCCCCACCGCCGCTCCCCGAAAAGCGAACGCCAGCCCGCCCCACGGCGCCGGCCCGGGAGCGAGGAGCCGGCCCGCCGCCGGGAGAGCGAGGGGAACTCCGGCGGGCGGCAGAGAGAGGCGCTCCCCGGCGGGCGACGGGGCGATCCCGCCCGCGAGACCGGAGGGGAAGCGGGCGGGGAGACCCTACTCCGCCGGGGCGCGCAGGTAACAAGTTTCGGAGTTAGGACTGCAGAGGCCGGCCGGGCGGAGAGAGATGCCCCACCGCTCCCCGCGGGGATTCGGTGTCCCCGCCCGGGCCGGAGGGCGGCGGCGCGGCTGGGGGGCTCCCCGAGCCCGCTCCCCGCAGCGGCGGCGGGGCGGTCGTGGGGCGTGTGGAGGAAGACAGCGTGTAACGGTCCCGGACAGGCGGCGGAGTGCGGACGCACCGCTAGGCGGAGGAGGGAGGCAGGCAGGCAGCGAAGCGAGGGAGGCACCAGGTAGCGGATATAACGGTGCAGAGGGAGCCGGGCTCCCGGCGAGGAGCGGCGGGGGAATTACTTTCGCGCCCGCCCGACCTCCCCTCTCCGCGCTCGGGACGGTTCTACCCGGCCCCCGCCCCGGCCCCGCCGCCGCCCCAGCGCGGCCGGGCCGCTGCCCCGCGGGCTGACTGACCGTTATTGCGCCTCGGGTTCGCCTGCTTCCTGCGCTTACACCTGGGGCCATCCGCCATGATCCTCTCGCTTGTGTCTAAATGCTCCAGTCACCTCCTCCCCCGCCCTCCCCCCTCCCTCGCCTCCCCTCCCCCCCGGACCTGGTTTACGACACTGGGTGGTTTTACTTTTACATCACCTTCCTACACCTAGTGCTCGGCCGGAACCTTGTTGCCAGGGGAGACGGGTGCTTTACGGCAGGGCGTTTTGAATGGCGGCGGGGGAAAAGTTGTGGCTGCAGGTACCGGCAGCAGCGGTCGCGGACGGGGTGGTCGCGGGGCGGCTGTAGCGCCGCCGCCCGCTCCCCCCCCCCCAAGCCGCCGGGGACGCGTCCTTCCCGATCCATCCTCAGGCGGTAGCGGGGGTGGGGTTCCCCGAGGGGTGGGGAGGGCCGAGGGGGCAGGAGCTCGGGAGGGCGTCGGAGGAGGGTTCCCCCGTAGGCGCGGCCCGCGGGGGAGTTTCTCCCGTCCCGCATCGCCGCGTTGAGGGACCGGTCCGCTGCCAGGTGCCTCCCGCCCCGCTACCTTGCGGCCTCTTCGGCGCACGTGTCGGGCAGTCGTTCGTAGGTACAGTGGGGCTGCCGGGTCCGCTTTCCCTCGCCTCCGCTCCGGGCACCTGCTTCGGGCGTTGGAGCAGAGATGGGACTGTCCCCTCCACAGGGTCCGCTCTGTCCCCGCCGCTGTAGCCTGTCCCCCCGCCGGCTCCCTTACCATAATCCGGGCGGGCGGACGGACGGGCAGGGAGCGGAGCGGTGTGGGCGCGGGCTGATCCGCGTGGGACGGCAATCTGGTGTTACAGGTCTAATCAAGAGGCAAACAGCTGGACGAGTGATGCTGTTCTGTCACCCTGTGTGGAATCTGACATTCTGGGGCTTCCCTTAATAATACTTTCTACTTTTTTTTGATGAGGTGAGGTACAAAGCTCTATGCTTTAAAAAATAAAGAGGGAAGAGTGTAGTTTTTTTCACAGATAATTAATTAACAACTGTGTTTGGGCTTATGTATTAAAAATTGAAACATTACCTTTAAACACTCATACTACTTGAGTTTTATTTCAAGCAATAAAATAATTTGGTAAGTTTCCATTTGTTTGGCTTTGTTATTTCTTTTCTCTTTTTCTTTTTTTTTTTTTTTCCTTATCCTTTTATGATTCTGTAGAATTTATAGTTCCATGCTGCTGGAGTATCATTTTATCCAGACAAATTTCCATGGAAGTGCTTCTGTTAATGGGATACTTTATTAAGTTATTGATATACTACTGAATTTGGGTATATCTCAGCTATTCTGCATTGTTTCCACATGCTATATGTTCACACACTGTAACACAGGACCTCGTCTCATGGAAGCACCTCATCTCAGAACATGTTCTAGAAAATGAACTACTGAACGCTGGCAGTTTGTGGAAGTACCTGGCAGCTGAAGCTTCCGCAGAAGTCAGTACAAGCAGAAATGCTTAGGCTTTAGGCTGGGCATTAGCTGGGGGTACTGAACCCCAAATACAAGGTTTGCTAAGAACCACGACATGAAACCAGCTGCAAGATAAAAAAGAAATGTCAGTGAAATTTGAGTGGGTGAATCACAAAATTTAAGGCAGAATGTCAGTTTTGTCCTGCTTTAATAGTTCAACATCCTTGCCTGTCAAGATTTTGTACAGAAAATACCTGTGGCTGTGAAACTGCTTGCAAACAAGGCCTTAAGGTGTTCTGGAATTCTGGGACATTTTTATGATTTGGTGGATGAACTTAACCAAAATATCAAGTGCAGGTTTTCATGCCAATTTTTTACTTAAAATTAGTCATGTTTTAGAAGTTAGTTGCAAAAAATAACATATCTGTAAATATTTTTGTAGATTTGTAACAATATTCCCCTGCATGCCCACCCAGAATTGCAGGCTTCTCTTTAAGTCACTTTGAAGTAGCTTGTTTTCGTTGAGTTTTGTCTCTTCTCACCTCTGGATAAGAATTCTTGTCTCTTCATTGTGAACAATTTATGTTTTCCTAACAGAATGAGGAGAGAAAGAGTCTCCTGGTTTTTTTCAGATGGCCACAGTGGCTCTTTGAGCATTAGTCTCTTGAGATTTCCTAGCAGCTAGGAGAAACTAGTGACAACTCTAGCTGCTTATTAGTTTTGAAGAGCGGAACTGAAACTGGCAGGAGCATTGCTTGCTCTACACTGCTATAGTTTTGATAAATGAGAAGAGAAAGCCAAAGCAATCTTTGTATTATGTTATCTTTGATAGCAAGGAGGTCCAGAAACTAAAAAGCAGAAGATAGTGTTTTGCATCAGGTTACTGATTACCCCAATCACTATTCATTGTGAAAATCGTTTCAATCACAATCTGTAAATAGGTATGTGGACGGGTTGTTTTGGGGTGGGTTGGTTTTTAAACTTTGATATATTTATTCCAAGCAACTGGGCAGTTCACATCTTTGTATACAAAGTTCCCATTATTTCCTGTGCTAAAAAGCATCACAAGGATGCAGCTGCTGTCAAAGTGCTTTGGCCTATTACATTCTTCTAATCCTGGATGCAAACCCACTAGTTAAAATTCCTGCCATCTTTGTAATGTTCTGCACTATATAAGCACATTGTGTATGTAACTTAAACTGGTTTGTGCTGCAAGAACAAAAATCTTGTTTTTCTTCATGATGCACAACTTTCAATCTGACTTTTCAGTCAAGAATGCAAAAATTGGGTAATGTACTCGTGCAAAATCTCAGCAAAGCAGTATATTTTCTGTATCCTCCTCAATGTGGCAGGTTTACTGCTGTACTTCATCTGTTTGAAATTTATTTCTGTTGTCTGAAGACAGGAATTAAAATACTTCAGTAGTCACACTGGAGTATGAATGCACGAAAACCAGGTAATGATTATTATAGATGGGTTTTGCCATTTTAAAAAGTCATGTAGTGTTATGGTTTATGATCTTTTGATAATGTATTATTAAATTAAAGCAATCAGCCCTCTTGTATGTGTACTCCTTATTCATGTTTATGAAATGAAGTTTCACATTCTGAGTATCCTAGATTTAATGGTGTCATTTAGACAAATGAATTTAGAAATACAGTGGAAAACGGCTCACTGAATTGTTTCTTGTTTCATTTCTGGTTCGTGGAGTTGGGTTTTTTTCTGATTTCCACTAGTGAAACTTCATTTTCACCTGCATGTATTTTCTTGGAATGTCAATTGTTACAATTTACTGTTAAATTGATGATTTTTTAATTTTTTTATATATGCTTTTGCTCTATAGAAACTGAAGTTGAAAGATTTACTAGGAGAACAATGACCCAGAAATACACAGCTTGACTGCAGCTAGCTGAGGCACTAATCTTGAATAAAATGTGGATTTTAGAGATATCAACATACGGTTCTAGTTCCATTCCAGATGGTCTTTCAATTTCTATATTTGCTTCCAAGTGTATTGAATAAGTTTTGAAGGTGCACCCTGGGATGTTGTACAATCTCAAAAAATGGTAAAGCCATGTGAAATTAGCACGTTCGCTTAGAGCAGAGTTTGTAAATATTTATCAAGAGAAATGATCCCTTTTTCACTTTCCTCAGCTTATTTTTTTTCTGTTTCTATGCTTTCCTATGAATATGTTTGTTCATTTAAAGCTTAAAGCTGATTCCTGATAGTCATCTTGCAGCAGGTACAGACTTGAGAAGGCTGCATCTGCGTGCAAGCATGAAGTATAAGGATGTAAACCTCCATAAAGCATCAATGTGTACATATTTATATTTAGAACTGTAATGACTTGCATGCACACAATTGACTTTCAAAAAATATTCCTTGTTACAAAAAAAGTGTTTGAGAAGATCACAAAGGCCTTCAAAACCATTTTGTTTCTCTTGCTCTCCTTTTGCCCTACTTGTTGCATATTGTTTTTCTCTTGAAAGCAATTAACCTGTGCTGATACCTATGTCAGGCTAGTATGCTGTATAAACTAAATGTATAAAAACATAATGAGGACCTACAATTCCATTCTTATGTTAATTTTAACTTTAGCTGTGATTTCTGTTTCACAGCTTTCAGACAAGCAAAAAGTGATTTTAGAGAGGGAAAAAGGTTGAAAACGTCATTCCACATTCTTCATCCAAAAGGCAAAGCTTGTATGTTCTAAATGGAATTGCAATGCAAATTTGGATGCAAGCATTGGGTTGTGAATTGTGATTTTTTTGTTTGCTTCAACAGACCCGGAACTCAGTTGAGAATGTTAAGTTCAATATTTTCTACTAGATGCAGCAGCAAAATACTGTTATCAAAATACTATTTTTAGATTTAAATTACATATGAACTTGTGACTGATCAAATTACAGTTGTAGCGCAGTTAGATTACTCAGTTTTATTAGTAGCACATTTTCTGTTCATCTTTGTTTATGATGGTTCTGCATAAGTGTTCTTATCCATTATATTATCTAATTAAACACTAACGTATTGTGAATATTTCCCCATACGGTTCATGTTTGTTTCCTTCTGTAACTTACACTCTGTTTCTGATTTAATTCTGCTCCCCAGCCCTCTTGCTGTTTGCTGTCTCACAGTTTTGTGTGATTGCTCATTTGGCTGTCGTTTGGAGTTACTCTCTTTGTTACGGTATCTGTACAGCTGGCTCACTCAGCTCTTAAAGTCCCAACTTAAAACTGATTTCTTAATTACTTCATGCATATTCTTGTCATTTATATTTGTTTTTTTTTAATTGCTAGAACACATCCTATTGCTAGATGTTATTCATTTGCTATCTCTTGTTTTGTTGTTTGTTTTTTTTTCCTCACTGCGAAGTGCATAATGCTTCTGCAGAAAATTTTTGTTAGTACATAAAAGAAAGCTGTTGTTTTGGAGCAGCTATGGTTTTGGAGTTTGTGGCGTGTGTTCTGAATATACAAAATTAACATAAGGTAAACCAGAGAAAAAAACATAGGAGTCTATCAAAACAAGCAAATACAATTAGAAGTCTATTTTTGCTTAAGAGACCTCAGCAAATCATCAGTCAACGCCATAAGGGGAAACACAGACCCTGTAATGATACTTTTCCAAGATGTGAACTGAAACTTTGGTATACTCAGCACAGTTGGTATGATTCTCCCATTTGGTGAGGTAAGACTCTGGTAGATACAAACATGGTATTAAAATGGGCAATAGTATGTTTGAAACTCAGAAGCACAGACCAAATTTGTTGGCATTACAGAGCTGTGTAAAACAAAGTATAATTATAGGTGAGTTTAGTTTACTGGAGCAGGGAACAGCAGTTCAGTGCTAGAATGATCATATATTGATAAAGAATTGGAAAGGGATTGTGATTCTCATGTAAGGCTATGCATATCAGGAGTTTTTGGTGGCAAGATCAAACATTTAATTTGGATCAAATGTAGTTTGGTTCCATCAAAACAAACTTTTTTTTTCTTTGTGGAAAAAAGAAGCCTAGAAAGATTTTACGTGTGATCAAATAGAAAAATATCCTTTCTACCCAAGCAGTAAAAGCTTGGATTAGAGCAATTGTTACAGCAGAGCAGGTGGTCCGGGAGATTTCCTTTTATTAGGTTCCCTACCTCCCTGGGGAGGTGTGAATAGAGATGTCTATGGTAGGCAGTACCCTACGTCACTGAGCTTTAGATATTCTGAAGAATTTTCATTTTTTCTTATTCATGCTAACTGTTTAAGTACCCAAGAAGAACAAGGGCTCCTATGTCATCTTAAGAGAAGTACTTTGAAATGCTCTCTATTCCTCTCACTACTCACTTAGGTAAATGTTCTGGCTGTTAGGTTAGAATCTTTCTCTAGTTCATGACTATTTAAAGTATTTTGTAGAAACAAAAACCTTTTCATCAGTACAGATGAAGACCACCTGAACTGTTGTCTTTAGGATGGTGAATTGGCATCATTGGTGAATGGTAACAATTCAGATTTCTTTGAGGAGAGGACAGAATTGAACCTTGGGTTTCATATCCTGGAGGAGTCTGACTACAGGGATTTCATATTAAAGATGAATTACACCCAACATTTAATGCATGCAGGACATGTTCTGAATAGCCCAAATCAGTTTCTGCAGAGTAGCCAGGTAGAGAAGAGCCAAGCTTGAAAATCTGCAGGTGGTGGGGTAGAGTGCAGAGGTAGGCAGCTGTAGGGATGACCAGAAGCAGATCTTCACATGCACAGAGAATTTAACTGAAAAATCCTCAGTAACTAGGATTATGTAGAAGCTGGAAGTGGTACTGGAGAGCTTTGTTTGAATTCAGATGCTTGTCTGAGTGCTGTTTTTCAAATACAAAAGCTATCTGTTGTAATAAAATTAAAATTGGATGCATTTTACGTAATTTTATTTCTATTTAAATGATTTATTACATATGTCCTGGGTTCAGCACTCCCTGATTCCCATCCATAGGCTGATCCGTAGACTGGAGAACCAAGGAGTGATCAGCAGGATCCGCTCACCCTTTAATAGCACCATATGGCCAGTGCGAAAATCTAACGGAGAGTGGAGACTAACAGTAGACTACCGTGGCTGAATGAAGTCACACCACCGTTGAGTGCTGCTGTACTGCACATGCTAGAACTTCAGTATGAGCTGGAGTCAAAGGCAGCCAAGTGGTATGCCACAACTGATATCGCGAATGCATTTTTCTCAATTCCTTTGGCAGCAGAGTGCAGGCCACAGTTTACTTTTACTTGGGGGGTGTCCAGTTCACTTGGAACCGACTGCCCCAGGGGTGGAAACACAGCCCTACCATCTGTCATGGACTGATCCAGACTGCGCTGGAACAGGGGAAAGCTCCAGACCTGCAATACATTGATGACATTATTGTGTGGGGCTATACAGTGAAAGAAGGTTTTGAGAAAGGGAGGAAAACACTCCAAATCCTGCTGAAAGCCGGTTTTGCCATAAAACAGAGTAAGGTCAAGGGACCTGCACAGAAAATTCAATTTTTTGGAATAAAATGGCAAGATGGACGTAGACAGATCCCCACAGATGTGATCAACAAGATAACAGCAATGTCTCCACCAACTAATAAGAAAGAAACACAAGCTTCCTAGGGTGCTGTGGGGTTCTGGAAAATGCACATCCCAAATTACAGTTTGATTGTAAGCCCTCTCTATCATGTGACCTGGAAGAAGAATGATTTCAAGTGGGGCCCTAAGCAACAACAAGCCTTTGAACAAATTAAATGGGAGGTAGTTCATGCAGTAGCCCTTGGACCAGTCCGGACCATGCCAGATGTAAAAAAATGTACTATACACCGCAGCTGGGGAGAACGGTCCTACCTGGAGCCTCTGGCAGAAAGCTCCAGGGGAGACTCGAGGTCGACCCCTTGGCTTTTGGAGTTGGGGGTACAGAGGATCTGAGGCCAGCTATACCCCAACTGAAAAAGAGATACTGGCAGCCTGTGATGGGGTTCAAGCTGCTTCGGAAGTGATTGGCACTGAAGCACAGCTCCTCCTGGCACCTCAGTTGCCAGTGCTGGGCTGGATGTTCAAAGGCAGGGTCTCCTCTACACATCATGCAACTGATGCTACATGGAGTAAATGGGCTATACTAATTACACAACGAACTCGAATAGGAAATCCCAGTCATCCAGGCATTCTGTAAGTCATTATGGACTGGCCAGAGGGTAAAGATTTTGGAATGTCACCAGAGAAGGAGGTGATGCATGCTGAAGAGGCCCCACCATATAATAAACTGTCAGAAATTAAGAAGCAGTATGCCTTGTTTACTGATGGATCCTGCCATATTGTGGGAAAGCATCAGAGATGGAAGGCAGCTGTATGGAGTCCTGGACGACAAGTTGCAGAAACTGCTGAAGGAGAGGGTGAATCGAGTCAGTTTGCTGAGGTGAAAGCCATCCAGCTGGCCCTGGACATTGCTGAATGAGAAAAGTGGCCAGTACTTTATCTCTATACTGACTCATGGATGGTGGCAAATGCCCTGTGGGGGTGGTTGCAGCAATGGAAGTGGAGCAACTGCCAACGCAGAGGTAAACCCATCTGGGCTGCTGCACTGTGGCAAGTTATTGCTGCCCAGGTGCAGAGCCTGGTGGTGAAGGTACATCATGTAGATGCCCATGTACCCAAGAGTTGGGCCACTGAGGAACGCCAGAACAACCAACAAGTGGATAAAGCTGCTGATTGAAGTAGCTCAGATGGACTTAAATTGGCAATGTAAGGGTGAATTGGTTTTGGCCTGGTGGGCCCATGACACTTAAGGCTATCAGAGCAGAGATGCAACATATAGATGGGCTCGTGATTGATGGGTGGACTTAACAATGGACACTATTGTCCAGGTTATTCACGACTGTGAAACATATGCTGCAGTTAAGCAAGCCAAGCGGTTAAAGCCTCTTTGGTATGGAGGACGATGGCTGAAGTGCAAATATGGGGAGGCCTGGCAGATTGACTATATCACACTGCCACCAACCCGCCAAGGCAAGCGCCATGTGCTTACCATGGTGGAAGCAACTACCGGGTGGCTGGAAACATATACTTTGCCCCATGCCACTGCCCGGAACACCATCCTGGGCCTTGAGAAACAAATCTTGTGGCGACACGGCACCCCAGAGAGAATCAAGTCAGACAATGGGACTCATTTCCGGAATAACCTTATAGATATTTGGGCCAAAGAGCATGGCATTGAGTGGGTATATCACATCCCCTACCATGCACCAGCCTCTGGGAAAATCGAACGGTACAATGGGCTGTTAAAAACTACACTGAGAGCAATGGGTAGTGGGACTTTCAAACACTGGGATACACATTTTCCAAATGCCAACATGGCTGGCCCAAACCCGTCAGAACTTTTATATACTGTAAAGGGGGACAAAGTTCCTGTGGTACCCATAAAGAATTTGCTGGGGAAGACAGTCTAGGGTATTCCCGCTTCAGGTAAAGGCAAACCCACTTGTGGGATTGCTTTTGCTCAGAGACCCGAATACACTTAATGGATAATGCGGGAAGATGGGGAAGTCCAATGTGTACCTCAAGGGGATTTGGTTTTAGGGGAAAACAGCCAATGAACTCAATTATATGCTATTGCTTGCTATGTAGCACTTTTATATCCCACCAACTAGATGTCTTCAGGTCACCAGCGACTGGCCCTGACTTCCCTGCTATCATCATCCCAACAAAGAACGAACTTTGACAAAACCAGACGAGCTCAGCAGTGACCAGACAGGTTCCGCAGTGTCATCAGCAGGCAACAATCCAACACTGCATACTGTCTCTCCTGCTCTGAAAGACTTAGAAGAGATGGAGCCCAACATCATGGACCAGATGAACTCAGCAGCTTTATAGGGCTTGGTCCATGCACTAGGGAGTGATACGTCTCTCTTTGTGTTTGTGTGGGTGCATATATACATACAAATATATGACACAAGGGTGATGGTATATTGAAAAATGTGGGATCTGAGCATGATGTGAATGGTATGGAATAAGGAGTGGATACTGTCCTGGGTTCAGCA